AAAAAAAAAAAAGGCAAAATATTCCTCCGCAGAGCTGCTATTCTAGGGTATCTTTAATTGGTGCCTATCTTTTGCAAAAGTGCTTCAAAAGTAAACACAAATCTGAAATCACTTATCCACTCAGAAATAAGTGGTAAGCTTATAAAAAGCTCTACAAACCAAAAATTTTTCTTTAACTCATTTGGTGGCAAGAGCTGGCATAACCACTGGAAGTCTACGATCTTCCCTCCTGCCACCGGTGGGGAGTCAAGTAACGTGCCTACTGCCGCAGCATCACTGTGCTTGATTACAGGACGCCCAAGGCCCTGCTGGCGGTTCAGGCCCATGTCTACTATCCGTTTGTAAAGAACAAATACAGCCTCTGTTCCAAAAACACATTCTGTTCCAATGGTTTCAGGTAAGGGTTTTGAACCTGTAATTTATACTTTCATCTTCTTTGAAAGTAGAAAATCAGCCAAAAATACCTTTCACGGCCTCTTCCACCGGAAGTCCAACAAAGGCTGCGAAGTCATCGGCGATGATGGAGGTGTAGGCTTGGGAGACCAGGGCGAACGCGCGTCTCCTCGTTGCATCTGTTGTAGGGGTGGGGGGTTGGCACACAATGAACCAAGAGAGCTGACATTTTTAAAAAACACAATTACTGTATTGTCCTTGTCCAAATTTTCTAAGCCAGAGGAGATCAACGCAAAAATTTCTGTGCTTTCGATACAGATATATGTGCCTGGAATCTAAAAGGTGCACAAATATTGCTGAAGAAAGAAGTACATTTTTTGTATTTCCTCTTAGATGAAAAATCTCAGATGACAATGAAAATTGTAAAGATGGAAAACAGTTATTACACACAGGACAGAAACCCTATGAAAATTTCATTAAATGTATTTATGTATCTGGGATATAAATTTTAAAATTTCTCATTTAGGCCACTTACAAACATTGGAATGAATGGAGAGAAACTACCTACTTCTGGAATTAGCTAGAGGGACTAATTCCTCCAACTAATTCAGTAATTTCTCAGGAGAGATAGAGGGTCACACCTGGAAGGTGCAGAACAAACCTTGTAACTGGAGCCCTCTCCCTAACGTCCCGGTCTGCTCTAAACTCTTGACTTCATTTGGGTTCAAAAACCAAGGCCAAGCCCTGAATGACTGAGCCTCAAAGGAAGGGGCTGTAAACAATCCCAGCAACAAAACCTCCTCCCTAAGTATGACATATGGTATTTTCCCAGGCTGAAGTGTCCACGTTAAATAATTCAGGAATGAAGTGGAGACAGTAGGCGGGAGACAGGAAGTGGAGGCTGGCTGACCTGTCCTCCCGTCCAGGGCTCTCTCAGTAACACAGGGGCTCCACCACCAGGCTCAGGGAATATTCTGGATTCCACCTGCCACATTTTATAGCCAAATGTACATGTACAAGACAGCCCTGCAACACACTGAAAACCCCCTCTCCATTCCTGGGACACTGCTAACAGCTGCTCCAATCCCCCAGACACTCTATGCTCCTGGCCTCAGAAAAGCCTTCCACTCGCTCATCTCTGGGCTCTGGGCTTGTGCTTTTGTGCGGCCTGAAACACCCTCCCCTCTGCTCTTCCTAGGTCTGTTTATAAATTCTTCCTGTAGCACTGAAATTGACTGCAACTTCTGCCCTTCTCTAAATTCACTGTATTGCTTACCATCCCTACTTAACAAGCATCTTTACCACGGATGGCGTGCATTGCTCTACCCGCTCCCCAATGCCATCCCCTCAGTTACAGCCCGACTTCTCTGCAGGAGGCGTGTCTTTTACCCTGACAGCCCTGTAGCGCTGCGCTCCTCCAACAAAGCATGTGCTGAACGCCCGCTCAGTGGTGTGTCACCAGGACCGAGGCTTAGGCTGTGTCCCTTCAGTTTCTTCATTTCTCACTGAGCCCGACCCCCTCTCCACTGCCTCTGGGCCAGTATTTGCTACTCCTAGCTTGTCTACAATCATTCCCTCCTTCTTACTACCAACCTCTCAGCAAATAACCTTAAATCAGACTTTTAAAACATCTTAGAAGGTAAAGGAACTTGTCCTACTGAAGGACCCGGGCAACGATGGAAGAGCCCAGTACAAGCACCGCAGAACCACTTCAGCGGGCGGGCCCGTGCCTCACAGACGCTTACCGAGGGTCAAGTGCTCTGGTCAGATTTCTGAGTTGAGAGGAAAGATCTGGGGAACAGGACGGGCCAGGGATGGAGAGGAGAGAAAGGGACAGGGGTGGGCTGGAAAATGCCAGAGGGACACATGGTGCGGAGGCAGCAGCAGGCTGACAGAGGAAGCGCAAAGGCAGGCCGAGCGCCGCACAGCACCGCCTGAGGGTCGTAACCCTGACGTGCAAACCGCTCACTTGTGACCCTGCGATCTGTGAGATTTGCCCCCCTGTGAGGGCATGCACTAGAGTGACAAGCTGGAAGGTGGAACGAACTGAGTCAGCCACCTACTGTCTGGCAATCATCATGGGACAGAGTCTTGGGGAGACCCTAACAGATGGCTCATTCTGTTGTTCAAAAATAGCTCAAAGTGCCTGTCATCCACCAGGCACGGCCACCTGCCCGGCTGGGCACAGAGGGAGATGGCTGTCTGTTCCACCTCCTCTAATGCCGGAGGCCAGCCATCAAGGCCTGTGGCCCCCGTGCCCTCTCGCATGAAGGGGGCTCTGCAGGCCGGTGAGTGCACCTCCTCTGCCCCCGCCCTGCTCCTGCGGAGCGCCTGGGCCCATAGCTCCCGCGGGGCAGCCCCTTTCCCACGGCTCCAGCAGGCCTGCTCCCTTGCCTGAGCCTTTGGGTCCCAGGTGACAATGGCTACGTCTACACCCAGTCCCTGGCTCCTTCATCCGTCCCTGCTGGTTTCCCCTGGAAACAGTTCTTTTACTAGCCGAGTCTTTCTTCAGTTAAGCCAATTTTGTAACAGGACTGTGACTAACTCAGAACAAAATGAAGATCTAAGAATGTGTTCTCAACTAGAATACAGAAGTTTGTAATACATTAAAATGCAAAATATTAACTTTAGTAGTAATTCAGATGTTATGAGACTACCTTCCCGAGGCTGCATTTTACAGAGGAAAATACAGAACCATTCAAGCCGCCGGGAGTCGTGAAGCTCTCGGGACGCACTGACACAGGTCAGCAGAAGAGTGCCTTCAAGTGAGATTCCCGGTCATACACAGCATTCACCTGTGACAACCTGGAGAGTATACCTACAACCCCCTTTCACAAGCGGGGAAGACGCGGCACAGAGGGGCCACTCCTAGTACGGGACAGAACCAGGGCCTGCCCTCCACAGCCTGGCTTCAGAGGCCCAACTCCCGCAGCCGTTCCAGGGCCTACTGGATTCCGTAAGCTGATGAAGAATCCACAGAGGCGGCACTGGGAGAGAGTAAACTACATCCAGTGAAGGCGGACAAAGGGGCATGTGCTGAATGGGTCAGGAGGCCCGAGCCCTAGTCCTGTTACCTGATGCTGGGGCACATGGCCTGTGTCCTCACACTACAATCTTAAGACTGAATGAGATATGACAACGTCCATGACTACACTCAGGGCTTGAAAAGGTTGAGGGTGCTTCCCATGTGCATATCCACATCTCCCCCTACTGGGCCTGTGCAAGCTTTTCCACATTTCTCCTTTCCCACCCACCTGCTGCCCTGTACTCCACTCATTTCCTTCATAAGCAAGAGCCTCCTGTTTTGTCACTTCTGTGGTTGTTTTAGGCTGAGGCAGTGTTAGCAGTCCAAGAGAGCAAGCCATCTTTACCTTCTGCTCCCCTGAAAAGCTGATTTCCCTCGCCTGTGATGAGCAGTTATTCAAATATTCCTGCTCGCAGTTCCTTCAGGGCAGGAAGGCAGACAGTGAAGGCAGGTGTTTAGTACAGAAACAAGGGTAGGAACATAAAAGGAGATTACTGTATGAATCACAGGAGGAACCAGGGACACTGGAAGCGGATCATCGGGTGGGAGTAGAGACAGGCAGGGTGGAGCTTTACTGTGGGATCAGTGCTGCGCAGTGCCAGGTTGATAATCTTTCACAGCAACTTAAAATATGTTTGAGCATCTACACATTTAACTCATTAGTTACAAAATCAGAAGCTGGAGACAATGCCTATCAAAGGCTGAGGCTGACAGAGTCCAAAGCACAGTCTCTTCTTTCCAGTACCCTGAGTTAAAATCTTAACCAACCCATACCCTGAACTTAGAGAGTATTACACAGTTTCATTTTAGTAACAAAAAATATAAGTAATATGAATGAAATACTCTTTTACGGACAAGAACTTAAGAGACAGTGAGGCCCCGGCTGCCAATATACTCTCCAGCAGCATGAAATGAAGCATGATTATAGCAAATCTAAAAACACAATTCTGAAACTGCCCCATTTACCAGGAGAAAATACCTATTTTTTAAAACACCATTGACTTACCTCCACACCACAGTACTTAGGGAACAAGTCTAGTCTAATTTTTTTCTTAACCATAAAGGAACACTACCTCTAAGTGCTTCCATGATGGGCTGGACTGTCTCAGACCACTGGTGAGCGTTGATGGTTGTGTAGACCCCAGGGAAATCTCTCTGCCAGATTCTTTGTCCTACTGACCAAATTCCCCCAAGTTCAGAATTTGCCTGCAATAAATATTATTGCCTTGAAGATAGTTGATGCACAGATTTACCAACAACTGTATCTTAAAACAGAACTCAACATTTCTTTTAGGAGATGTAGTTACTTTTCAATCACTATCAAAAAGGCTTTTAGATGCTGTGAATAGTAATGTAAAACTTGTTTTATATACATTTTTATTATAATATAAAATTAAGGCGTGAGGAAGCAGTCCAAAACATTTCAGAACTAAGTCTGGGAACTAATTTTCTTAACCACTGTGTTTTAAAGATGCTGTATTTATATTTCATATACACATGTGTAATATAAAGAATATATAACATTCATATATACATGTACACACACAAAAATATAGATATATATATACACATACGCATATCTTTTGGACAAACAGTAATAGCAAAATGGCCACAGTGCAGACTGCCAACCTAAGACGTCACACACTACTGCCTCCCTAAGGGTGGGGTTCCCAATATCACCAAAACTATGCATATAGTTTATAGTTGTTCTTTGTTGAAAGCCAGTGATGGTTAATGAACATTCTAGTCTTACTTAAAACAATGTCTGGGAAAGGAAGAGAGAACAGAGGTGCCAATCTGATGTGTTGCTAAATATCCATAACGACCAAAAGCATTTAGGTGAATTCTTGGTAATATTCTGTGAATGTTTAAAAAATTTACTTCATTTTACTTTGGAACAAACTTGTAAGAGATTAACTCTTCTTATCTCCCATTTAAAATATATCTAAAACTCTAATTAGCAAAAAGAATCTTGATGCTGTGACTAATCATCACTTTTAGGATGTTCTTGTAAACAATACCAGTTTCAAAATAAATACCATTATAGGAAACTGCATAAATCAGGTAAACAAACAAACAAACAAAAACCAAACCTGTATCTACTGGGTAAAGTGACTCAAGAAGTGTCTTATGGAATCTGATCAGTGGGAGCTGAACACAGATTTCTATACCATCCAAGGTAAATTAAAATTTCTGATTAATCTGTAGATCTATTCTGAAACTTTAATACCAGTATTAGTAACTATTTACGTGAACCACACAAAAATGTTTGAGAGATTGTCAACTGAATGGATGTCATCACTATATTATAGTAGTAAAATATATGGAAAGAGTACTTACAGATTTTACAGCAGGTGGGATTCTTTTCCAAAGGTATCTTGCATTATTCCTAGTTTACATTCCCCCCCGCAAGGAAAAATAAGCAATTAAAAGAAAATAATCTCAGTAAATGCTTAAAATTCTAAATCCCACTGCAAAAACACAGATTTATACTCTAAAATACTCTCTATATAACATAAAATGAAATGTAGTTTCATATAAATTAATCCAGGGAAAGAAAGAGTAGTTTTCCAGATAAAACACATGAAATATTTTTACTAAAGTAACATTTTGGCATTGTCAGTAAATTCTTTATTAATGATCCATATCTTAAATTAAGGCACACTACACAACAGTACACTAAAAACACAAAGACTTAAAACAGAACCACCTAACTAATGTATTTGTGTATAAAAGTAAATTTATATTGTCTCAAGGCTCTGGGATTCCCGGACAAAATATACGGTACACAATGCTTTTTTCCTTATCATGACCCCTTCTCCCACCAGTGGGCACAGAGCCACTGAAACTTCAAGGCAGTTTTTAAGAGCCTGGAAGCTTGAACTACAACGAACATGATGACAGGATTACAAAAAATCAAACATAATTTATATGATAGACGTGTAATCAAAATCTCAGTTGCAATTTTCACAAGGTATGAAATGACAAGGTCTAGGAGAATCTAAAACAAAGTCTAACAATAATCACCGACAGGGCATGGAACGATAAGGAAATTCTTTTTGCACAGTTATGCTTTTTTATTTTTCTTCAATGAGTGTGAACTAGGAATAATTAAAAAGCAAAACCTGTCAAGGAATCTCATACATGTGGGAAAGGAATTCCTCTTAGCTTTCTCAATCTTCCCTTTCAGTTTCTCTTAGCCTAATGATAACGTGAAGTAAACATGTTATAAGAAGGTTTTATAAAAAGACAAAAAAGATAAGGCCAATAAAAATTAATTTTGACACTAGTTTCTCATGACCAACTGGAACATTTTTTTGAAAGTATATGGAAAACAAGTGTATTTTAAAATAGACTAATCATAACTCTTCAGTCATGATTCAATAAATGATACAGATGTGTTAAATACAATAAAACAGAGCTCCTTGTGCCTGACTTTGTTACACTACTTCAATGCAAGAATAATTTCGGTATAAGCTTAAGAAGGCTGCTGCTCTAAGCTTTAAGTAGAAGGTACTTACATGTCATTATGCAGCAGATATAAAGCTAGAAGCTGACCATACACTGGGGGTGTAGCAATTCCTCCCGGAGCCTAAATGGCCAAAAACAAAAAAACTCACTTATTTTTTTGAAAGTATTTTATTAACACTAATCAAAACAGTAAGGGTATTTTATAGTACTTAACTATTACAGATGTAGAAACAGCTCAAATACCAAGCACTATAAACCAGACTAATAAAGTTTAGATCTGTCATCAGCTATGATTTATGTCCCTCTGAGCCTCTATGCCTTTATATGCACAACAATATTTAAATGGAATCCCTTTCCCAGTTCGAAAATTCTTATTTAAATGGTCTTACTATTAAAAGACACAAATGTTTCCAACAAATTCCTAAAGCACTATGATTCTGCCCATTATATCAAATATGTTGAATATCTAAGTAAGTGAGTGATAGGCAGAAAAACATAACAGCTGAATTACAAAGACATTTCTCTTACTTAGCAGTTAGTTAAGAACACACCTATTAACTGTTGGAGCGCTGCTGCTTCTGGGTGTCGTCTCTTTTGGTTAATTAACTTTCTAATGTTATTCGTGCTTTTTAAGTGCCTTTCTAAGAAAAATCTTTAACTTTAATGGCTGCATGACAAAACTTGAACGAGTCTTACTGAAGACAGAACGGTAAGCTTACACGATGAGTGAGACTAAGGTCTCTCTGAGTCAATAAAAGATCACAGTGGTCACGTCTTTGGTCTGTGTGTGTGCCTGTGCCAAGGCCTTTGGACGTCCGGTCTCAATACGAGAAGCGTATTGGAGTGTTAGGATGCACAGGGTTCTCGGGCTTGACCAGCTGAACACAAACAACGAAAAGCTCCCTGCGAGCTCGGGGAGCCGGGCCCGGATCCTCAGCCCCCGGAACGGGCCGCGGCGCCCCGGGCCCTACACGCCCAGCTCCCGCGCCTACCCGGCACCAGCCACTAGCCCCACGGGACGCAGGGCCCGTTCCCCCGGAGACAGGCGCCGCGCAAGACCGGAGAAGACCCCGCCTACCTCGAGCTCCTGGTTCTCGCACTGATCGAGCAACTTTCTAAAACTGAAGGTACTTTCCGCCATCACCGCCACTGGCATCTTCCCGGCCGGTCCGCCTCCGCACCTCCACGAAAGACGACCCCAAACTGTCTCTCGCGGCGTCGCGCCCGCGATGACGCTCAAAGTCGCCGCCGCCACGGAGCGCCCAAGCGCAGGCGCACCGTCGGTTCCGGCGCGTCGGTGGGCGTGACTGCGGCCGGGGTCGCTGCCGCTCTGGCCTGCGCTCTCAGTGCTCTGGAGGACCGGCGCGGCCCCGCGGGAAGGAGCCCTGCGAGCGCGCACGCAAACCCGGAGCGACCCGGCCTTGAGCAAGTCGGGATGCTGTTCGCGCCCCCACTTTGAGGCCCGTACACGTGCTCCATAAAACGCGCAAAGCCTACCTTTGGGTTCTCCCCCAAACCTCCCCGGCCGCGAGGCGGGGCTCCCCTGCTGGGACCCCGCGCCTGGGTGAGGTCGCCCCGTGGCCGTGGACGCGCGGGCCGCCCCCTTGCCTCCCGCCGGTGGCCCCGGGGTGTCCCTGAGACGCGAGTCGGATCTGCGCCTGCCCCTGCTGGAACCCCTGAAATCGAAGTCGCCCTCGCTTTTGAGGCTTCAAGGTCGACTTCCAGATCCGGCCGCAGGGCGCCTGGCCGCCCCCGCCTTCCGCCCGGCACTTCCCGCCCGCGGACCCGAGGGGACGGGCCTCCGCCGGGGCCCTGCTGCGCTTGGCGGTGTCATTCGTGGGCTCGGGGCAAATTGAAATTGCTGGGCCCTTGTTCAAATAAAGGGAGGAAATGCCATTAAGGTTATAGGACATAACGCTTTGTCTTCCGTCGCAGTGTCTCAATTTTTCATAGCATTTTAAAAGTCATTTAATATTCTAAGAAAAATCAAAACTTTATTAGCGTGAATTATGCCATTCATATTTATATTGTGTGAGGCCAGTTTTAAATAAAAATACTAACCATGAATTTCGGTTCCACTGCTGCCCGATTCAGCCAGGATACCCAGGGACAGCGTGTCCAGTGGAGAAAGAGTTTTATTCAACAAGCCGGCAGGTTGGCGGATGGGAGGACTGTTGTCCCAAAGGCCCATCTTAACCCAGGGTTCATTTCAGGCCCCTTTTATGCTGGGGGAAGAGGGAACAGGAGGCGACGGGCAACTGCAGACATCCGTACATCAGCCAGGGACCGAGGGGGCTGCAAACGCCCTGTCCCCGGGCCGTGGACTCCCTTCAGCACAGGCCCCGTCATGACGTTCCTGCAAACTCTTGATAAGACAATCACTGCCTTATCTCTCAAGCTGTAAGCGAAATTATTAACAGGGTATGGGCAGAGCTGCATTTATTTTGGCAAATCTAAAAAGGAGTGTTGATTAAGGGTCTTGTGGTAACTTTCAGCTCTTCTCCTTGGTTTGCCTCTGAATTATTTCTTTCTCTGAGCTCCGGAAACAAAATAGACAATGTTTCTCTATCCATTTATCATTATCTTGCTCCTGGTGGCCTGCAACGAGCTAGAGAGCAGCTTTGAAGTCCTTCAGGCCCAGTTACAATATAAGTACATTCAACTTGTGTGGAATTACAGAAATTACACAATTTGTATTTCCATAACGCATACATGCATAAATATTTTGTTATCAGAACCATGGAAGTGAATAAAACTAACTCAGATGTTTCTGTTTAGCTTCTTTTTATGCACATGCTCTACTGGCACTTTCTTAAGTTTACTGAGGGGTAAGGAAGGACTGCAAAGAAAAACTTTCCCTTCCCGCTAAATGACAAGTTTCAGCACAAAGGAGTCTTTCAGCATAATACTGGGAAGTAATGTGCGTAAGGAGGAATATGATAGGGTCCCTTGGGAGTTCATGTTTTTGGGACACCACAGTTTTCATTACGCATTTGAAGCAAGTTCAGGTTCTAAGGGCAAATACGGCCTGCCAGTGATGCCGGGGTTCTTGTTCACAGAGCCCGAGAATGAACTTCGCAAACACTCACGGTTAGGAGAGCAAGGTGGAGGCTTTTAGAGAGAAACCAAGAGGACAGAGCTCCCGGCTCATCCAGGAGGGGACAAGAGAGCCCGCGGTGGTGCATGGTCAAGGGGATTTATAGTTGGTTGAGGATTTTCAGGAATGGGGGTAAAGGGCTAGAGGTGCAGACTTGTAGAATGCTCATTTTTGATGAGTAGAAGAAATTTGCAGCTCTCATTTTTCTCAGGATAGCGGTTTCCCTCTGGGAGCATATCAATTAACACTGCCTGTTTGCCTGTTTGCTACAGTGTTAAGAGTCTTCCTAACTTTTTGGGATGTTTATAGCTGGGCTTGCTTACTAACTTAATCTTTTGCCTCTGTTGCAGATTAACTTGATTAGGATTAGAGAAGGAAATATAGCATGTAAGTACAGGTAAAAATAAGTTGGGTCTTTGAGCAGGCTAAGGTAAATTTTACAGTGTCATGACCTTATTGATACAATAAAGTCACAGGTTGTGCTGAGATACCTTTGGACATTCCAGGCCACGCTGCTCCTGGCCTTTTGAGCTTTAACTCATTTCACTGAAGAATGTCTATATTCCTAGTCTGATATCTTTACCCTAGAGAATTAGTGTGACTCTGACTTTCCATATGCTTAACACAGAGTTTCAGTAAGGACTGCTTTGCACATTGTTGTATTGTTCTGTCTGTGATTATCTTGGGTTGCCTTTTTTTTCCGGTGGCCCTCACCCTACTCTGCCAAAACCTACGGCCCCTGTCTCACCAGCACCCGGCTTGCTCAACTGCAGACGTAACACACTTACATTGTACTCACTTGGTGTCTTGCAGGAGCCATTTGGCTCCCCCTGAATTCTACATTCATGGGGTATGCTAAACGCTACGCTAACGGAAAGGCAGCGAACGTGAGTATTGCCCGTATCTCTGTGTTCACATGCGTGTGCTGCACTGCCCCTATGGACCTCATTTCCAAACACACTCAAAGATAAAGTTATTAAGAGTTTCAAGGTGGTGACAGCCTCACTGATTATTTTTGCATAATCAACACTTTCCATGTGGAAATGATTGTGTTTAGTAATTCTTTGGATGGGATTAAGATAGAAACTCACTACAAAAGTTCCTCAAAGAATTGCCAACCTTTAAACAGGAAGGTATGCAAGGACGAGTATGGCTAGAGGTATTTTGGGGAAAAATAAAACAACAAAGTTTCATCAGTCATACAAAGAAGAGGGGGCTGGAGGGCAAAAGACCATTTGGCCTGACTCTGAGGAGGAGCAGTATTTTGAATTTTCAACATGAATGATGGTCCTCAACTTATTATGGGCAAAAAAAGTATTCAATTGGGTCAATGGCCCCATAATATAATTTAAAGGGAAAACCATGATTTTAAAACTTTGGCAGATATTTTGGCCTTCTAAAAGGTGAAGACTTGATAGATCTCTGCTGAACGGAAAATCTCTGTGAGGCTTTGGAAATACAATCACAGGTTAGAGGGAGAGTTGGAGGTGTTGTGTAGAGGACTAAACTATTCTTTAACAGATAGGCATGGGAATTTGGGGATTGGAGGCTGTGAGCTAGAAAGAGGAATAGGGTTTTGCGATAAAAGGAAAGAGGGTTCTGGGGTGAGGAAAATGGAGCAATCAGGGCATAAGGTGAGATACTGGCTAGATATAGGGACCCCACGTGGCATTTAAAGGCTGATGGATTTGCAGGGATCAAAGACCTCAACATAAGAGCTAAAATTGTAAAACTATTAGAGGAAAATGTAGGGTAAGTCTTCATGGAATGGGAGTGGGTAGCAAGAACACAAACAACAAAAGAAAAGCTAGATAAATTAGAATGTATTATCAAATTATAAACTTTTGAGCCTCAAAGAAAACCATCAAGAAAGTGAAAAGGCAACCCAGAATGGGAGTACATTTTGCAAATCATGTACTTGATAAGAAACATGTATTTAGAATAAATAAATAGCCCTTACAACTCAAAAATAGACAACCCAATTTAAAAATGGGCAAAGGAATTAGTCATTTCTCCAGAGAAGATACATAAAAGGCCAAAAAAGCTCTGCAATGAAGCTCACCATCTTTTCTCATTCAGGAAATGCAAATAAAACCTCAAATGAGATACGACTTCTCACTCGCTAGGGTGGTTGTAATAAAAAAAAAAGGCAGATACGTAAGTGTTGATGAGGATAAGGGAAGTTAGAATGCTTATCTACCTGCAGTAGGAATGTAACGTGCAGCTGCTTTGGGAAACAGCCTGGCAGTTCCTCAAAAGTTTCAACATTGAGTTTCTGCATGACCCAGCAATCCTACTCCTAGGTATAGATTCAAGGGAAATGAAACATGTCCACACAAACACTTGTACACAGATGTTCACTGCAGCGTGATTCATAATAACCAGGAAGTGGAAACCATCCAAAGGTCTATCAATTGATGACTAGGTAACAAAATGTGGTATCTGTATCCATATAGTGAAATATTTGGCAATGCAAATGAAGTACTGATACACGCTCCAATAGGGATGAATCTTGAAAACACATGCTAAGTGAAATAAGCCAGTTGCAAATGACTGAATATTGTATGACTCCCTTTATAGAAAATATTCTGAAGAGGCAAATCCATAGAGAGAGAAAGTGGTAAGGGGCAGCAGGTCCTGGGGGGACAGGATCGGTGACAAAGGACCAGGGCTGTGGATTTTGACAGCATGTGCCTGCATCAGAGTTGCTGGGAAGTAGCTCCAGGAATGGACCGGCTCTGAGCCAGCCCCCCTCTGTGGCAAGGACCGGGGCATGGCGTTCAGGGTGGAAACCAGCCTCCGAGCCTGTACGGCCACCTCTGTGGGGACGGGGCAGTGGGGCGAGAACAACAGGTAGGGAGGGAAAGGGATGCATTTTTAATTCCTGAGGCACCAGACACGTGGTGGAGTAGAAAAGCGTGTTAATTCTAGTGGGTAGTCCGCTGGAGGAGCTGGGATTTCGGGGGGGGTGCTGATGTGGCTGAGGACAGGAGGTAGGTGCTCCTGTATGGCCACGGACCATTGACTTAGCGGGACACGTGTGCCTCCCACTGGTAAAATGTCAACCGGAGTTCTTAGCAGAATCATCCCCTCCGGGTGGTACTGCCAGAGGGTGCTACCGTTTTGGAAGCCAAGGCAGCTCATGCCCA